ATAGACCTACGACAGACCTACCTACCACTGGCGGTTCTACAGGTCGCAGGTTCAACTCTTCGAGTTGACGCTGGTATTGTACACAGGTAAGTTGGGAAACTAGGGATCGAGCCCTGGGATTTACCTCAGCTACCACGAATTGGTGAATACCGTTTCAGTGGGGCTGTCTTCAAAGGTCATTTCACACCTCCTTTTCCAGATAGCCCAGAGGGACGACTTTCTTATTTGCGAAAAGAAGACTAAGTCAAAGCTTTTGAGGGGTGGGGTTTGCTCTATATCCAGGAATATGGTGCTTGGGTTATTTGTACGTCTCTGCCACAGTGTCTGCTCCAGGTTCTCTCAATGTCGTGCCAGAGGGTTTGGGATTTTTCACATTCTAGGAAGCAATGATTAAGCGTTTCGATGGATTCCGAGTTGCAGACTTTGCACCATGAGGCTTGCTCGGTTCTGTCCTCTTTTCTTCTTCTTTGTGTTAGCCAGTCGTTTACTGGAACTGCTCTGAATGTGATGAGCCATAGTAGACTTGCCAATTTTACTGGTTTTGTGCAGAATACAGGTGACCAAGAGGGTTTGAACTTTGAAGGTTGATGTTGCAAGGGATCTTTCCTCTTTTTTGCCATCTTTTTTGCACTATTGCAGTAGTCGAGATGGGGGTAGACAATAGTTTATATCCTAATTTGGCCGTGTAATCTGGTAACTTATGTCTTCGCATCACCTTTGTATTGGTGCTTGGGATGTTCCAAGACCATTCTGCGGGGTCGACTTCTAGTTGTTGGATGTCCGACTCAGGGTTGTAAACTTTGTTCTTCTGTCCTTCTAAAACTCTGATTCTCTTGAGGTTGTTGATTTTAAAGGATCCTTCTGCCCTACTTTCATCATTGAGGAAGCTCACTGGGTTTCCTGGTTCTTTTGAGGGGAAGATGGTGCAGCAAATCCATTCATTCTTATGAATTTTGTTGCTTATAATTTTCAGGACTTCTTGTGTGTTTGTCTGTTTTTTCTGTGCGGCCCAGTCTCCTACAAGCCATTTTTGGTTTGTTCTTAATAGGCGTCTCCATTCCATTGGTATAGATTCGATGATGTGGGAACGACTGACTTGTAGATTATGGTTCCCCTTGAGAATCAGTCTCAGATCTTTCTCTGTTTTCCAGGTATTGCCGGTCTCATTCCACAGGTGTTGAATTTGCCAGATCCCTTTTTCTAGCCAATTCCCTCATTTGGCATCTGATTTGGTGAGAGAAAAGTTTTCTCCCTTTTCATTTTTGATCCAGGGGTTGCCGAATAGGGGTTGTCTAAGGACTCCGTTTCTTCTTTTGGGGCCCAGTTTGTTTTCCAGGAAATTCTTCTCCAAGTGTGTAGTAGTTGTTCCCATAAGGATTTGGACTGGTCGTTAGGTGTGTCTTCTGTTTGGTCTGCTTGTTGGTTATGGGTCTTTTGTCCTTTGGAAGGGGCCGTGTATTATTAAGTATCCAGAATAGGCCAAACATATTAGAGGGGGAGTTATATGGGGCCATTTCTCTTAGGTGATTGAGGGCCAATGGTGCCCATTGGAAGTTACTATGTAGGATTAGTCTCAGTCCATTTGGTTTGTAGGGCCTGCATTTGTCGGGCTGGGTCTAGGAGGCCCAGCCCTCCCTGTCTCATTGGTAGCATTACTGTTTGCCATGCTACTTTGTGGATAAAGTGTTGTTTATCAGGATTGTTGGTCCACAGGTATGCTGCTGCCCTTCTTCTTATTTCTCACTGAAAATCAGTGTTGGGAACCAAATGGATGTCGCATACCGCATCATGAAGAAGATTGAGTCGTTGAGTGTCAGTACCCTACCTAAGAGGGATGTATGTGATCCTTGCCATCTATGCATTTTGTTGATCATTGCAGTTAGTAGAGATGATGCCGATGTTGGGTGGCTTCCTTTCATGCTTATTTGTATTCCCAGGAACCGGATCGGGGTCGCAGGGTCAGTCCATTGGAAGCCTTTTGGGGCTTGTGTCGTGGGTGGTGGATCTGGTGAGACCCACCAGCCCACCGTCTTTGGCCAATTGACTTTCATTTCGGAGGCTAACTGAAAGGCTTGCATGGCTCTGGTTAGCGCTTGAAAGGAGGAGTCGGAGGCTCTTATTAGTACCGTTAAGTCGTCGGCGAAAAAAAGGGTGGTGGGGGCCATGTACTAGCGGTTTAATGATGTAATTTCGTGGTGATGGAAGCAGAAGTGACCCAGATCGGGCTCTCTCGTAGTACGAGGCCTGTTGTAAGATGGAGGTGATGATGATAATCATAATGATGCAATATGCTCGAGAGAGAATCCATGAAACGACGACTTTCATTAAGTCCTTCATTATTTCATAAATCTCATTGTCGCACTAACTCTGTTGCGTGTCTATGCACCCTCAGCATGCCGACCTGAAGGTTACTGAATAGAGACATGCGTGCGCGCACACACACACACACGCACACACACACACACACACACACACACACACACACACACACACACACACACA